TGCAACTTTGGCCAAGAGCTCTTACCTCTGCTACGGCTCGCTGAACTATTTGCATCTTATGAATTGGAGCCTTAAGTCATGTTCATTTAATCAGTCACTCCAGTGCAAATACTGATGAGATTGCCAAGTGATTTCTTTGGCAAAAGGCAAGTCGTGTTTAGCAATTCTGATTCTATATGCTTTTCCCTCGGGGTATAACCCCTGCTTTTATTTCATTCCTAAATAATTTTTTGCATGATTTGAAGACTATGAATAAAGTCAACAATATGTGTGTGTTTTTATTCAAATCCTGAATGAAGCTGCAAAAGATGTATATGCATAATAAGGAAAGGAGAAGCTGATCAATTGTTTAAAAACAAAATTACTATGATACTTAATGTGTTTTCCTTTATCAAAAATTGTTGACAACCATTTCATATTTTAGAATTCCTTAAGTCATAAAACAAATGTTATTTTTTAACAAGGGAAATCCAATCCTTTTTCTTAATCTTTACATAGTTGTAGCCTTGAAAAAGATTGTACACAGTTGAAAACTCATTACTGAATCAATACAGACGTTTCTGTACTAGGAGATTTACTTCAAAGTGAGGTGCTTGTTGTATCAGCTTCATACTAACTAGAATATTACTGCTTTTTCAGTGAGAAGAGTTGCGATGGTATCTGCCTTTGTAGCCCATTGGCAGGGCATTCACCTACCACCTACCCTGTGCAACATCTAATAATGTGCAACTTCTTGGTGGGCTGGTTCGACTTATTAATGCAGAGGAAGACTACCCCTCCCCCAAGTTATTTTCCTGTGGTGTTAGCAAGTTGAAGGATCTCAGGAAATTATCAGATGGACATGAGAACCGGTGAAATATGGTGGGTGGGTGTGTTTGGGGAGATAGAAGGACACATCCCTCTTTCAGCAGCAACAAATAAGTAGAATACGTAATGTGACTCTAAATATGCTGGATCAGTACAAGTCACCGCTTCCTGAAGAGAGCTGCCTTCTAAATAAATTTTCCTTCAGTTCTGTGACCAGGTATTCTCTGTGCTGTTGCTAGGTTCTCCCAGGTTGGCATTTGCATCGTGGGATGTCTGTCAGATGTAGCTGTGGTGTCAGCACTCCACGCCCTGGAATCCTGTTACTTTCCATGATTGAGTGTTCTTTTTTGCTGCTTTCAAAGTCTGAAAAGACTGTCACAGATAAAACCAGGCTCTGTGTTGCACTGAGCATAGCTGAGAATACGCAGTGACAGTGGTTAGCTTACAAAGCTGCAGCTGTGGTGGCATGCTGGTTTAGTGGTCAAAAAAGGATGAGGGCCAGTAGCCAGGGTTTTGCAGGTGTGCTTTTTCATAGAAACCTCATAGGAATGTTCCCTGTATAGGAAGAGTCTATGGGCAGAAAGGGAAAGTTATGATTACACAGATGTGGCCATGACTCAAATTACTTAGTAGTTTTAGAAACTTAAAGCAAGGAAGGATACATATTTCTGGCTTACTGCCGCTGTTCAATAATGGGTTATAGCTTTGAGATATAAATGAGAAGCACAGGACTGAACAGTTCCCCCAGGAGTTATTTTTAGGGAGAAAGTTTATTAGGGAGAAAGGTTTTTTTGGGGTTTTTTGGTTTTTTTTAAAGCACCTGCAGTTGAGCAACAGACTTCTTAGATTACTCACTGCAGCAACTATTTTGTGAGGCTATAACATTTCCAGGAAGAAACAAACTATGTTTGAGCTTGAAAACTATTGATCTGCTTCCCTGCAATATTTAGGACACCTTTGCCTAAATAGGGGAGTATTCAAAACAGGGATACTGAGGCTGCCTGGTGGTTTGGTTAGAGAACACTGCAAAGTTAGGAGTTTCTTGGCAAGGCCTGTGAATTTAGCAGTCACAATGATTATATTTTTAAAGTTGTGGTGTACTTTAAGTGAATTGTCTTGTGAAAATGTGGCAAGGTTTTTATGGCACCCAATGCTTTTCACCCCCCACCCCCCCACCCACCCCCTTTTATTTGTCATTTACATGTAAGAATAATCTGTCTGAAGTCCAATGAGAACACTTCTGGGCATTAACAGCTCCAAAAATTGAGGTTTTCATTAGTGGAGTTCTAGTAAAAGTCATGCATAGGAACAATGTAGAGAGGACAGCATGTTCTGGTACATTAGGAAGGTAAGGAGAAGGAAAAGTACAATTTCAGAGTTTAAGAAGTGAACTTTCTAGTTATGCATTTTATATCAGAGCCGAGCTGTGCAGTTGCTGGCCCTACTTCTGTTTTGAGAAGAAATTGTCTCATACTATTATTATATTGTTTTCAAAGGAGCATAAAGAAAAGGATGAAGGCTTGACAGCTGTGACAAAGTTCAGTGCCATAATGTGTCACCAGATAAGTGATACTGTAGAGTTTGTGGCAGTCAGCAAAGCATAGCAGCCACTATTTATATGTCAACTTTAAAAGAGAGGAAGTGTTACCCGAAGGGGAGAGAGTATCAAAATTTGACAGCCTGGTAGACATCTGAGGTTAAATGTCATCTTTTGAATAGATTTAACTTTACATATTCATTTTATGTATTGAGATCTGAAATTCCAGCCTTTAAATGCTCATTTTGTTACTTTATGGCACTTAAAAACACTGTGCCTAAGAACAGAGCAAAGTTTCTTGCCAGAGCAGCTAGTGAAAATTATGACCTAAACTTTAACATTGTCTGACTTAGGCTGTGTAACTATGTAGGTGCACATGGCAGCCAACAACAGGAGAGTAAGATGCATCTTGTTCATTTCTTAACCTTAAAAAAAAAAAGTTGACTTTCAGTAATAATTATGTATTACTTGGATTCCTCCTCTCCTATAGAGGAATAGAATAAAAATAAAATTATTTTCATGTTTCCGAAGCTTGCTGTTCTTTGTAAGTTCTTGTTTCAATTTAAAACTAAATTAAACCCTTGTTTGTATGTCTCCATGAGCAGCTTACATAATGCATAGAAAGTAACTGTGTAGGTATTGAGGTTGGTTTATTTTCATCCCTTCCCTACCAGAAGTTTCTTGTCCCTTGAGCATTTGTTTGTGTTTTGGTTTTTAACTTCTTGAGTACTGTTATCCCTTTATATCACTTGAACGGGAGGGAACAGAGCAGAGATACTTCTATCGTTATAGTAATGATCTTGGAAGAACAGAAGTTGTTAGCCTTCAAACAATATTTTCAGCTTGGCGTTTATGGGGAACACTATGCTTTGACTCAGAGGCACTGTATTTTCTTCTTCTGAAGAAAATTGCCAGTATCTTTTTTTACATTCTGAAGACTGTGTGAAACTTTCCATTGAAGTGTGAATTACAAAGCTTTGATTATGTAACTAAAAAGATCACTTTCTGTGATTTCGCAATTAGTCTTAAGTGTTGCAGAGACTAAAGTTGATAATACCTTGATGCTGTTTCATCCATTGTGTGCTATTGGTTTTGCGTGAAACTGGTAGTAAATCCAATCGTTTTCAAACAGCTATACTTGGAAAATAATATCCTATAGCTTTAAAGCCACAGTTTCAAAATTTTAATATTTTTGATCTAGACACTGGTAAAAGGTAATTGTCTCAAATACGGATTCCCTGGAGGTAGGGGAAAGGGAGCGGAAGACTGAACCGTGACCTTCGTCTTCCATTTCCCAGCCATAGCACAAGATGCGTGTTCTCTTTGCTTTTTGCCTTAAACACAGCGTGCAAATCTAACAGCCGGTCACACCTGGTGCCTGGATCCCTAGATCAGGGGAAAAACTGCACCACTGCAGAGGAAGATGGAGAACATGCTTTTCTCTCCTTGATCTTACTTCAACATATGCCTGTTCATATGGCAGCATGTGAGACTTTTGAAGATATGGCATGCCTTTGTGCCACTTTGTGTATTGCAGCTGCGCTGCTTTATGTTGCTTTTCACAGCTCCTGTTTGTATGCCTATCCTAGCTTTTCTTAGAAGAGCATTGCCCACCATAAACACCTTGTGCACCATTTAAAAATAGGTGTATGATACATGAGTGGGGTTGTAGGGTGTGGGTGCGTTCATCTAAACCCTTGGCACGTGTTGTTGAGCTCAGAAGTGGCAGCTGCAACTTAGAAGAGAGATCCTGGACTTTCTCTGAATATATTGCCTTGATACGCTTTGGCAGCCAAACATGTCAAAAGTGGGCCAGACAGTGTCAGGAAGGGAATTGAGAATAGGACAAGAAGGGTTTGATGTGACTTGGTCTTGAGTATAAAAGCTTTGAGAAGCCTTGTGAAACATTGGTGTCCCCATTTTTTTGTATGCTATCAATTCTGGTCTCTCCTTCTCAGAAAGAATGTTAGAGCAAGTAGAGAGGGGCAGCTACAATAGTCATAGGATCTTACAGGAAGAGACTGAAAAGATTGCAACTTCAGCATGTGGGCCCAGGCAGGCTGCACCCTGAACATACGTTATCCAACAGCTGTAGTTCTTGAGGGAATATGGTGGGGATGGACAGCAGAAAGTGCCCAGGCTTGCATGCTCTTCTTACTTAGTATTCCCTGTTGCTGCTGCTGCTGAGGACCACTGATCTGACCCAGCAGTGTGGTTGGGATGTCCTTAACAGGAGACTGTCACAGGTACTTGTCTTCGACTGTGGCCTGACTATGAAAATTAAGTAAATCGTTCCAGTACTTTTGTGGTTAGGTTGTGATTTTTATCAGTTGAGGATTTGGTTCACTGCTTTGGAAAGAGTCAAATGATAACTTATTCAAGGTTCCTTCAATAGGGCATTTGGTGATATGTTTTCTCAACTGCAACTTTTGAGAGTTGCTTCTGTATTTCAGTTAGTGGGTTATTGCAAGGTAAAATGCAGTGAGGTGCTACCATGAAAAATGCTACAGATTTGCATGAAGCTAATAGGACCTATTTTTTTCTCTCGTTGCTTTTGGATGGGTCCAGTTTTCACAAGCTTTCCATACAATCGTTATTTCTGAGGTAAAAATTTTAGCCTTTTTAAATTTTTCTTTCTCTTCCTTCTTTTTAACAGATTCTTGAAGATGCAGAGGCTCAACATTTGTTCCAGTCCATTCTTCCTGATATGGTCAAGCTGGCGCTCTGCCTCCCTAGTATCTGCACTCAGGTAAGTAAACACAGCTAGCAAAGTGCTCTGGCAGACTGCTTTTCTGCAAACTAACTAATGGCTAAGGTCAAAACATCAGGTTCATGTTATGTTCTTAATAAAAGCTATAGTTTTTGTGTTGAATGTAGCTGAGGAGCAGAACTGACAATTCACATCTATAATGATATAATAGAATGTAAAAAAATATATTGCGCTGTCATATTTTTAGCCTGAACTTCAGTAACACTTCCCTTTCTACATGCTGGAGTTGCTTCTTGCTTTTCTTAAATGAGATAACCATGAAACCTTTCAGTTTGAAAATCACACTTATAAACTGAAATACCTGAAGAATCTTAAAACACCTGATTTTTTTATTTTAGAATTTTTTTTTAATCCTACAAGTAGCATTTTCATAACGCCTTCATTTACTTGGGAGCATATTTTATTCTACTTAGAGCATCGCAACACTTGCACACATACAAACCTTAACCAATTCTTTATTATTGTTATGGGAATCAGTTCTGTAGGTACTAAAGCTGATAAAAGTGAATAGGACTGATCAAGTAAGTGAGGATGTACCATAGGTAACACATTAGCAGGGTAATGACTAATTTATAAGCTCCTTTGTTACAGTTTTCTAAACTGATTTTGTTGGACAAGAGCAGGGAGAATTTCTTCCTACTTTGTTGTGCTGCAGGGGTCCTACAGCACGTATATAACTTCAAACAGTATGAATATTTCTTAAAAAAAATTTTTTTACTAGTCACTTGATGGAGGAAGTTTTTGAGAATGCTATGAAGTTTCTGTACACAAAGTCAAGCGCAAGACTTGCAAGTTGATGTAGTAAATGCCTTTTATGAAGATGACATACTGTTAGGCAGTGTAAATTGCAAAGAACTTTGTCAGACTAATTTTTTTTGGTTAGACATAAAGCTAAATTGTTCCAATATAACATACTGTCCAAAATACGCTATTTTTATAGGCTTGTAGAACTTATTAGAGAGAGCTTCTCAGGCTTTTTCCACCCTCTAGCTGTGTGGCTTCAGACATCATAATATAGCTTGTTAATTAAATAGCCAAAAGACAGAATGAGATTCTGTGAATGTGAATGAAGTAGTTGTAAGAATGAAGGAAAACTTGTTTGTTTTGTGGAGTCAACAGGGCTGTGTTTTCAACAGTCTGAGATAATAGCAATTTCTGTATTCACAACTAAAAGGATTAAAATGTAGCTGCTCAGGTCTCCTGGAGCTAGGCTAATGATGATGGCTGAGAATATTGGAAGAAGAGCTGAAAACTGTGTTCTCCTTCTCCTGTCAAGTGGGTTTATCGTAACTGTTACTGGACTCCTTAGGAGTCAGAATGATTCCCCCCCTCAGTATTATCACATAATTAAAAAAAAAAAAAATGCCGTCAGTGTGGTGAGTGAAAATTCCAAATCAGGAGGCTAAAGCCTGATAAAATGGAAGATGTATAACATTTCAGGGTTGGCTTTTTTTTTGTTCTCCTGCCCCTTTGTTTCTTTTTGTATTAAAGAAACCCTGAGCAGAGTCGAATAAAACTCCAAACTGAAGACCAAAGTGAAGCTGAGCTTTTTGTTCATTATGATTTATGAAAGAATGGATTATCCTGCACTTTCTGCAAATATTATCAGTATTATTTCTTCAAGTAGGATGGAAAAAAATTCGAAACAAGTCGCAGAGCGATGATCTGTGGCATGACTTCCACATTTCTTTGTAAAGTATAAAGCACGGTTATTGTAGCTGAAAGCATTCCTTGAGGGTTCTTACCTATACAGCTATTGAAAGTGGGTTTTTACTTCGTTTTTTAAGATTGCCCGGGATTTGCAACATCACATCTAATTTTTTTTTTTCCCCCCCCTCTCCATTCCCCACGCTTTTGTTTGATAAGTTTTGTTTTCTTGGTCTTTCTTTTTATTATTGATTGGAAATCTGCAGTTTGTCAAGCAAGCTTTTTCTGAATTGTCTTGAATAAACTGTTCTTGACTTTAATGGTGCTGCTGATTAAAGGGTTCACCAATGGCCTAAATTACTCTTGCTCTAATTTAACAAATGTAATTTTGTGCTCCTGTTTTTTCTTTTAAAAT